CTAATATCTCATTCTTCTTCATCACCTGAATCCCCCTATTATCGAACCTCTTACAACTACAGTAAAGCTGACTGGGATTCTTTCCGTGATTTTCTTTGTGATGGCCCTTGGGTAGAAATCTTTTGTCTTCCTGTCGACAATTGTGCTTCTTACATAACTTCGTGGATTCAGGCTGGCATGGAATCTTTTATTCCCTCTCGACGATTCCAGGTCAAGCCTCGCTCTCCTCCATGGTTTTCCTCACACTGTGCTGCTGCGATTGCCAATCGAAACCATTACTTCCATATTTATCAGCAAAACAATTCTCCAGAAAACAGACGTCTGTTTATTACTGCTAGAAATAGTTGTAAAAAGGATTTGTCTAACGCCAAAACCCGCTGTTCTCAGGTTATGAAATCTCGCATCTCATCTCAAAATTAGGCTCTAGTGACTTCTGGAGAATCTTTAATAATATCAATAATAAGGGCAAATCTATAATTCCACCTCTCTTGTATGGTTCAGACTTTATCACCTCACCTAAAGACAAAGTCGAATTGTTTGCTAAAAACTTTGCATTAGATAAAGGTGGAGAGGTTAAGGCCATCGCTCTTGACATTTCAAAAGCTTTTGATAAAGTTTGGCATGCTGGTCTTCTCCATAAGCTTTCTTCTTATGGTGTATCCGGCAACATCTTTAAGATCATTGAATCCTTCCTTTCCAATCGTAGCATAAAAGTTGTCCTCGATGGACAACACTCTTCTTTTTATTCTGTAACTTCAGGGGTTCCTCAAGGTTCTATCCTTGTCCTATACTCTTTTTAATTTACATTAACAATCTTCCAGATATTCTCACATCTAAGGTGGCATTGTTTGCTGATGATACTACCATTTATTCTTGTCGTGATAAGAAACCAACACCCTCTGATCGCTTGGAAGGGGCATTTGAGCTTGTAAAGGATCTCACTTCTGCTACAGCATGGGGCTCACAGTGGCTGGTGAACTTTAATTCAGATAAAACTCAATTTTTTTCAGCCAATCGTTATCGCAATAATTTAGATCTTCCTATATTTATGAACGGTGGTGTACTCGATGAGTCATTTATCCTACATCTTCTAGGATTAACTCTTACTTCCAATCTTTCTTGGAAACCATATATCAAATCAGTTGCAAAATTAGCATCTGCTAAGGTTGCATCTCTTTATCGAGCTCGTCGCTTTCTTACTTCGGATTCTATTCTCTATCTCTATAAATCTCAAATCCGGCCTTGAATGGAATACTGTTGCCATATCTGGGGTGGATCTTCTAATGATGCCCTTTCTCTTTTAGACAAGATGCAAAAACGCATTGTAAACATAGTTGGACCTGCTCTTGCAGCCAACCTCCAACCATTATCACATCGTCGTAATGTTGCTTCTCTTTCTCTTTTCTACAAATACTATAATGGGCACTGCTCTAAAGAGCTAGCGTCTCTTGTGCCATCTACTAAAATTCATTCTCGTGTTACTTGTCATTCAATTAAGTGTCATCCTTTTTCTGTGACTGTTCCTAAGTGCTCCAAAAACGCTTATTCGTCTAGTTTTTTTCCTTGAACATCAGTTCTTTGGAATTCGCTTCCTTCATCTTGCTTTCCTGATTCATATAATTTGCAATCTTTTAAGTCGTTCGTCAATCGTTATCTTGCTCTACAATCTTCATAATTTCTCTTTCAGTAACTTCCAACTTTAATTAGTGGTTGCTTGCAGCCTTGTTGGAAGCGAAGATGCTTAAAAAAAAAAAAAAAAAAAAGAATCTTCCATACGTGACACCATTTATCTATATGATTTTGTAATTTGTTTCTTAGTATTTTACATTATAATTTTCATCATTAATTTTTTTATGTGTAAATTTTAAATAAATTTATTGTGTTTTAAAATTGCATTAAGTATGGGGATATTTCATTCGATATGATATTTAAGCTACAAACATTTGTATCGTGATTTAAAACAATGTCAGCGATAAGTTGTAAATCTTATTTAAATTGATAGTCTTATTTAGAGTGATAATTAATAGCATTTAGATGAACGATTTGCTTGACTCACCAATTTCAGTTAAACAGAATGTTAATTAAAAGAGGTAACATATTGCAATATGTTATTTTAGTTTTAAAATAGCATATTGCAATATGCTATTTTAAATTTTTTTTATAGGCATAAATGACATTTAAGAGGAGAATGAGATTGGTTCACCGCAAGTAATTTTAAATGGGAAATTTCAATATCTAATAACTTTTTTATTTGAGAATTAAAAATTTTTTTTTTGTGTTTGTAAATTAAACTTTTGCATTTCTAAATTAAAAAAAAAAAACTTATAGAAATTTATATAAAGTGGCTGATTGGACCCTAAAAAATAAAGGTCTTTGTAAGTCCATTTTACACCAACCTTTTTAATACTTTTTCCTTATATATGTTGTAGCCAAAAGGAACAGATCGCATGGCATATTTTCAGTTGCTTATAAGTAAAGTTGGCGCTCATATCATAATACAAAAACCAGATAATTTTAAAATCTTTTAATTGAGCTGTTTTTATTGTCGGACTTGGTGGATTTAATTAGATGAACTGCAAAGGTATTCTTTTAGTCGTTTAAGAGTTGACGCACATTGTAATACAAAATTCCATTGATTTTTAAAACTTATAATTGAGCTGTTTTTATTACCGGATTTAAGAAAATGACATAATTTTAATAAACGGAGAGTCATGGCAAATCTAAAATAGAAGTTACAAATTTTCCATTTAGACAAGACAAAACGTTTCGTGTGTTTTCAATCATATCAATTTTTTTAAATACAATAACATGCATACAAAAATTCCAAACAAAGCAGCTTCAGCAAAAAAGATTTTTAATTATTAGAAAATGTTACTTATATTACATACGATCCTAAATAAAACGTTATAATATATGGAGTTTTTACATTTGCATATAACATATTTGTTTATATATATTGTTAATATATATTTATAGCAAAAAAAATAAATATGGCAAAAAAGAATTTTAATTGCTAAAATAATATTTTTTTCTAGCTAGGGAAATTTGTTTTTTTTTTCATTTTTCTTTTGCCTCTATACCAGCACCTTCTGGAGTAGCAGGACTGTCTAATTAAATTTTTTCTTTATTAAGTTTCAGACCATAATTTTTTTTCAGACCATCTGCAGCTTATTAGGACTAATTACCTGAGCACATTAATAACATAAGTATCTTAATTGTGACACATACGCAACAAATTTGTCTTTTAGCTTTTATTGTGAATTTTTAGCTTTTTTAAAAACCCTTTTGTTTATTATAGTCAATAAGATCTTTACATATATGTGTATATAATATTTATAAAACTTCAAAAGTGTTTTATTTTGTATTTTAAAAATACAAGAAAGATTAAAAAGAAATAGAGAAAAAAAGTCTCTAGTTGGTAAGATTAAATCACAGCTTTTTTATTCAGAAGCTCTGCGTGCTATCCACTCGGCAATGCTGACATGTTGACTTAAGAAAATTTAAAAACTATATAATAAATAAAACACTACGGGAATAAATACTAGAGATCAAAATAAAGGAGAGGTTGACACAATGCAATTTTTAAGTGAAAGTAAAACTGTAAAACTTGATACATGTTTTAATATGTTTTAACATTACATAATTTGAATTTAACGTATGTTAGATATTTGCATACACATTCATTCACGTTTTCTTATGAAACAAAGTGCTGCAACTCTTTTTTGCCAATATCTCGGTTGCAATGGCTGCCAAAGGTTTCTTGTCAAACACTTGGCCAAACATTTTCTATGCAAATTATATCTTTTAAAAGATAAGTGCTCCAAATTGGGGTGCAAGATTTTAATACAGACTGCACATAAACTTTGTAAGCTTTAAACAAAAGTTGAGAATTGTTGGAGATGAAGGATTTTAAAAGTAGGTTAATGCGAGAGTGTGCATGCTAGAAATATGAGAGCAGTTGCCAATCAGTGGACCATGCCAAAATTTTTTATAAATGTTTGCAAGAAAAATGTTGTTGTAATCATTTCTAGATTGATACAATTTAATATTATCTACAAACAGTTTAATGCCACAATCTCCATCAGTGTAGTAAACTTTGTCGTTAACAAATATTAGAAAAATATAGGTCCTTGTACTGTTAGGAAAGTTACAAAAATCATTAAAGTTTGAAGCTCACTTCCAGACCATATAGTGAACTGGCCCTCACTGTCTGCATTCAAATCGAATTTAAAAAAATATGATTTAAAATGTCAATGTGCAGTCTACTAACTTTTACTGTTTCTTCACAATTATTCTTATCAACGTTTTTTTTATTACTTTTTGTTGTGACAAGAGTATTTTAGTAATTACCTGTCATTTTGTATTTTGTACATTTTTTTTTCAAATAAAATTAAATAAATAAGATAAACAGCAGTAAAAATATAAATAAAGAGTTTTTAAATAAAAAAAAAAAAAAAACAACAACAAAGTAATAAGCCCTATGAAAAATCTAAACTAGAAAACAACTGGTATTAATAAAAAAAGTTAATTTTTTTTTAACTTTTCAATGAATGACCTTGCTAGCTAATGGCTATGGTTTTGTCTTGAGCTTAAATTCATTTCTTCTTTGTGCATACTAAGTTTTCTACTTAGTTTTTAAATCTTAGCTTGATTGAGGTTTTTTTTTTAAAACTATGGTTTTTGAAACCTTTTAAAATTTTAAAACTTTAGAAATTCCAAAAGGTTTCAAAATTCTAAAACCTATATATACATATATAAATACATACACACACATATTTAAAAAAAGTATGTATGTATGTATGTATGTATGTATGTATGTATGTATGTATGTATGTATGTATGTATGTATGTATGTATGTATGTATGTATGTATGTATGTATGTATGTATGTGTGTATGTATGTATGTATGTATGTATGTATGTGTGTGTATGTATGTGTATATATATGTATATGTGAATATATGTTTATGTATATGTGTATCTTTTTCATTTTTTTGTAGGCACGCTATTTGCTTATGGTCAGACAGCATCTGGTAAAACTCATACAATTCTTGGCGATGTAAATGAATTAGGGATACTTCCTTTGGCTATAAAAGAAGTTTTTGATCACACAGTCAAGGTTTATACTGTTTTGTTTATTTGTTATTTATTATACCCTGCATTTTATATCATTAATACCATTTAAAAATTGTTATAAACTTCCAACGGTATCATAACAGGTGTTATTAACTTTTTGAATAAAACTCTTAATTCATTAAAGTTTATTAATTAAATACAATTTCATGAGGATGCTGAATACTTCATTGATTGTAAATATTTTACACATTTCATTAATTCAGATTTTTTTGATTTTCCTATTTTGTACTTTCTCATAGATTTTGGAATATCGGAAAATGGTGTGAAACACCATCTTGGTGAAATATATCTTCAATGCCTTGTGTTTTTATTTTATTGTTAAAGAATTTATTCAATGTTTATATTTTTTATGAAATTTATTTTATTACGGTGTTAGGCTTTCCTTTTAAAGTTCATGCAACTACAAAAATTTTAGCTTAAATAATACATAAGTTGTTGAGATAACAGCAGTTGAAGTAATGCTATTTCAGCATTTTTGTGGTTATCTGAAGAGATAACAAATCAACTTTGACATGTAGTATCTTGATAATGGTAGAGAAGATTTTCTTAAAATTTTGAGCCTAAATTTAAAATTGAGATTTTAGCTCAAAAATACTGCTCTAAAGACTATATAGTTTCAAGAAAAAAGAAAAAAATCTTGTTTATTCAATTTTTTTCAAAATAATTGATATAAAATTTGTTAATTTTTGGAACTAAAATGAAGGTTGTCACTCGAAATCCCTGGGAAAAATATTGATTGTGTATCATTACTTTATTTTAGGTTTATTGAAAAAAAAAATTAGATTCATGTATTGTCTCTAATATTTGATCAAAGTAAGCACTCAAAAATAACACTTTTTCAGAATTTTGAAAAAACTTACATTTTGTTATGAAGATTTTTTTATTAAAACTTTAATATAATGTTATATAATAGCTATTTAGGACATATTCATAGTCATAGGCATACAAAAGGAGGCAGAGAGGGCGATTTCTCCGTTCCCTTCTCCTTTTTTTTATTTCATAAAATGAATAAATAGTAATAAATTATTTCTGAAATACAATTATTGTTTTATCAATATATTATGTTTCTAAATAATGTAAAGAAAACATTTTGAGTTTTCAAATTGTTTCGTTTGTAATTCAAACATTCTAAATTATTTTGTTGCATTTGAAATGCCTAACACTTTAGAATATTTTTGAAGTAAACACTATAGTGTATAGAAGACAAAGAGTTGTTATGGGAGAAATTTTCTCATCTTGGAAGGATATAATTAGTGGTGTAATGCAGGGACCTATTATTGGCCCTTTACTATTTATTTACGTTAATGACTTGCCTGAGAACTTTATAAATATTTCAAAGATGTATGCAGATGATACAAAAGTATTATCAAGAGTTGATTGTGAAGCAATTGTTAACCTATTGCAAAATGTCCTATTTAAAGTTGTTAACTGATCTAACAAATGGCTGGTTAAGTTTAATTTTGAGAAGTGTTTAGTAAAGCACTTTATTACATAACCCAAAAAGAATTTATTTTATGCAAAGTAGATTTTTAAATACCACTATCAGGTCTTGTTGTAGTATTTATCTCTGACTTAAAATGGAAAAATCAAATAACTCTATGTGCAAGTAAAACAAATAAAGTTTTGGGTATGTGGAGGTAAGGATTGGCAAAGTTGACTTTTTGAGACCTGAATTAAAAGATGAATTTAGATCATATGCGTACACCAAATTTAACTGAAAGACGAATTTGGATTTTTAAACCAAATTTAACTGAAAGCTAAATTTGAATTTTAAAAACACATTTAATTGAAAGAGAAATTTTATAAAAGTTTTTATAAATTTTATAAAAAGTTTTATATTTTTTTGTTTGGGTGCCCCAAGAAGACTTAACGGTTTTGTCACAGAGTATTGTGAAATATTTGTAAATAGCCGTGAAAATTTATTTTCAGAATATATATATGATGATATATATATATGATGATATTGTGAAAAAGCATTTAACTTTTCAAACCTCCTTTTTTACGGATTGCGTGAAATATACCCAAAGCTCGCTTTGAATCCTAGGTCTCTTGCAGAAGCAAGAGACCTAGGATTCGAAGCAAGTGCTCTAGCAGCTGCTCACGGCTGCTGTTTAATCTTTTTATGAGCTAAAATTATTTTTTTTTTGCTCCTAATTAACCATAATTCAAAACCTGATGAAAGACAAGTGAAGCAAAGTTTTTAATTTATTGAAAAAAGTGAAGCAAAATTTTTAATTTATTAAAAAAAATATTTGCATACAAAAAAAACAATTTACATTGAAAAAAAAAAATCTAAAAATGCAGTAATAATGAGAATTTAAGTTATTTCCTTTAAAAATTTGAATGTCAATTTTTTAAAGGAAAAAAATCGTTAAGAATATTTAAGTTAAATATTCACCTATTTTTTATCTTTATGATTTTTTGAAAGCAATAAATAAGATTTACCCAGGAAAAAAAGTTCTATAGAATTTCTATAAACTTTTGAAACATGACGTATAGAAGTTCTATAGAATTCAATAGAATTTCTTTAGAACCTCTTAATTTCTATATAAATTTCTATAGAACTTTTTTTTTCTATAGAAAAAGAAGTTCTATAAAATTTTTTTTCTACAGAAAAAAGTTTTATAGCAATTTCTATAGAAACTAATAGACATTCTATAGAAATTCTATAGAAATTTTATTGAACTTTTTTTCCTTGGCAAGGAGTGATTTTGTGCTTAAAGTATATTTTTGGAATAATGAATCTGTAAGACAAATCTATTTCTAATATGTTTTCTTTTTTTTTCTTTTTTTACTGAATACATGTTCCCAAGTCCGAGTAGGCCACTTTAGTCAAGGAAGCTACTCATTTATTTTTTTTTTAATAGTGTTTCCAACCCTCCTTGACTGAAAAAAGAAGGCTTCTGCGCGAAGAAACAGGTTGATATACATAAAACATTTATAATTAATAATCTTTTTTAATTAAAAAAAAAAATGTCTTTCAAATTTAACTGGAAGTTAAATGAAATTTTAAATTGTTACCAAATTTAACTGAAGGCCGAATTTCTATTTCAAATTCGGCACCAAAGTCGAAGTCAACTTTGTCTTTCATATGGATTTTAATGTAATTATGCTGAATAATGATACAGCTGTCTAAACGTTCTTGGTCACACTCACCGAATTATTAGTCACAGCTCAAAAATATTACTATTACTATTTTAATGAATTACATGTTGCATTTATAAACAATTATCATAACATCAAGATCAGTTTGTCAAAGTTTTGTACTCTGAAGCCTTTGTGGTGCATTATAACTAATGCTTTAGGTACTCACAATGTATGTGCATGCATACATCACAAGATAAAAAATATAAAGATTTTATGACTGTGTTTGTTTTTTGTATTGTTTTTTCTCCAGAAAATGTGCAGTGTTTGCTGCACCGATGTAAGCGATGTTTAAGCATAAGTCAATTAGTGCATGAGTTTATAGACCATGAGCTAGATGAACATGCTGTATAAATGATTTCTTATCTGACAGCATTGCCAACCTTACCACACATTCTTTTATAGTTATATATTATAGTATACACAAAGCAGATACTTGAAAAACTGTAACAAAAAAACTAAACTAATATAAATGCTTAGTTTTCGGAAATTTGCCCTCTTTATATGCTCATAACTAAATTTGTCCTAAACTAGTTATTGAATAGCGGGTAAAAATATATGAAATCATCCAGACCATGACACCCTTACGTCTCAGAAATTGTTTATTTTTACACCACTTGCAGTCCATATCAAAAAAATAATAACTGCAAAAATTTTAGTTAAAAATACCAATGGGTTCCAGAGATATCGTCACTTGAAATAATGCTGACTCAGCATTTTAGTGATTTTCTGAAGTGACCACAAAGCAACTTTGACATACAGTATCTTCATAATGGCTTAGGGAAATTTCCTAAAATTTGGTACTCTAATAGATTTTAACTTGAGAAATCCAAAAATAGCACTCTTAAGACTCGATTATCTCAAGAAATGCCTCATTTATCCAATTTTCAAAATTATTGACTTGTAAATTAGTGATTTTTGGAGGTAAAATGAAGACTGTGGCCCAAAATCCCGAGTAAAAAGTTTAATTGTATATCATTACTTCATCTTAGGTCTACTGAAAAAAATTAGATTCATCAATTGTCTCTCTAATACATGATCAAAATTTGCATTTAAAAATGGTGTCTTTTTAGAAAAATTTAAATTTTGTAACAAAAGCAATTAAAATATTTTGTAAAACATTTATTTGAATAAAACATCAAATAGTGTCATTTATTGACTAGTTTAGGACATTTATAGTCATGGGCCAAGGGAGATACCCTCCCCTCCCACGGAGGCCCCTACGCCCCTCCCCCAATCTCCCTAGATTTTTTTTTTTTTTTTTTTTTTTGCATTAAATGAATAAATAATGCAAAAACATACAATTTAATTTTAATTTTAAAAAAAAAAAAATTTTCATTATTTCAAATTGGTGACTTAAAACCTCCTTTTATATAAAAAACAAACATAAGTTTTGTTTTGTTCTTTTTAAAGGTATTTACTTGTTTGTATTTTCTTAAAGAGTTACTTTTAATTTTATAGTTTTTATATTATTTTGTTAGGTAATAAATAATAAAAATATTTAATATGGAGAAATGTGACTTTGGAAAAAGTCTTAACATTCATTGCCACAAAACTGGATTTTCAAGAAAACAAGGTTTTGTTCAATTTAAAGATCTTCCTTGTGAAAAACAAGAAGAAATAATATGGCGAGCAAATTTAAAGGAAAAATATAGTTCAATAAGAATTATATGTTGTTATCATGAGCAATTCTATGGAAAATATTTTGAGAGAAAAATTACAAAGTGTTGCAATCCTTTTGGAACACACAAGGAAAGTAAAAAAATTGCTATAAAAGGTAATCTTACCTTATTTACAACAGAATTGATATGGAAATTAAAAGAAAACAATTTATTATTTATAAAATGTTTGATAATTTCAGTTATTTTAACCACGTAAAACTTTGTTTTTTAGGTAATATAAAGATTTCCATAGACATGGCAAACTATTTGCAAAAAAATAATGTTTATGTAACCCCAGGTTGGAAATTCTGCAGTAAATGTTACAAAAAAGCAATAGAAACTGATGAAGATTTAAATTCACAGGAGGAATGGGAATCCAAAAGTGAGAAAAAAATTAAGTTAGATACCACTATAGAATTGCTTGGAATTTCACCAGTCAAACTAAAAAGTCTTTCAAAACACAGCAAATTGCCTGTAGCAAAACAAAAGTTTGAGAACACTATTGACAGAGTTGCAAAAATGGTCTCATTAGCATATAATATTAAAGAAACTTTTTTAACAACAGAAATAAAAAAAGCCCCATTTTAAACAACAACATTAACAATGACCATGATCTAGACATTTTAATGTATGAAATAAAAAATAAAATTTCAGAGACTGACTCTTATTGCCATAAGGTGCAAATGTTAACACTCGCACCAAAATCATGGACACGTAAAAAGATATCAAGCTACTTTGAAGTGTCTGAGTATCTTGTTCGAACAGCAAGAAAAGTTAAAAATGAGAATGGAATTCTATCATTACCTGGAAAAAAAACTGGAAACCCACTTTCACCAGAAACAGTTAATTTAGTGATTAACTTTTATCAAAGTGATGAATTTTCAAGAATGATGCCAGGAAAAAAAGATTATGTAAGTATTAAGAAAAACCAACATGTTCAAAAAAGATTATTGCTACTCAATCTTAATGAATTACATGTTGCATTTAAAAAAGACTACCCTAACGTCAAAATCAGTTTGTCAAAATTTTGTACTCTTAAACCTAAATGGTGTATTACAACTAATGCGTCAGGTACCCACAATGTATGTGTTGGCATACATCACCAAAATACAAAATTTCTCATTGATGCCATTAGGTGGAATAAAAGTTATAAAGATTTCAAGGCATTGATTGTTTGCTCTCTTGAAAATGCAGAATGTATGTTGCATCGATGTAACCAATGCCCTGGTATTGAAGTGTTAAAAAGTTTTTTAGTGCAGGAGTTTATGGACCATGAGCATGAAGAAGATGTAATATTTAAGCAATGGCAGAGTACCGATCGTACAACACTACTTTCACAGTCATTGCCACTAGATGAATTTAATGATTTATTATGTGACAGCATTGACAACCTTACCACTCATTCATATATTGCAAAAACACAAAGTAGATACTTAAAAAACTGTAAAGAAAATCTTAACCAAAACGAATGCTTAATTTTAGGAGATTTTGCTGAAAACTATCAATATGTTGTTTTATCAATATGTTGTTTTATCAATCTTTGTCATCACAGTAAAGACTTTGATTTAAATGCTGAATGGGTATTTTTTGCTACCAGTCATGGTAAATTCCCCTGTGATGGTATTGGTGGGACTGTTAAAGAAGTAGTATGTCAAGAAAGTCTAAAACAAATAACTACTGGGCAGATTTTAGATGTTAATTTAATGTACTACTTTTGTAAAGCCAAGATAAATGGAATTTATTTTAAGTTATTTTCAAAAGAAGAAATTGATCAAACACGAGCACAATTAGAAAAAAGATATTTAGGTGGAAGAACAGTTCCTGGCACAAGGATGTATCATCATTTTATTCCAATTGCTCTAAACACTATAAGTTATAAAAAAATAAGTACTGATGCATGCACTGAAATATTTGATATCATTGCAAAAAGCAAACATTATGTAGATATTTCATTAAATATTAAAAAAATGGATTATATTGCATGTTTTTATGATGGATTTTGGTGGGTAGGGATTGCTGAAGATGTAAGTGAGCTTGATATAAAAGTCAGATTCATGCATCCACATGGACTAGGTAAAAACTTCTTTTGGCCAATGAGAACTGATGAGTGTTGGGTGCTCAATTCTGAAGTTATATGCCTAATTTCTACACCGCGAACAATATCAGGTCGTACATACAACATATCTGATTTAGATTTGAAGAATATAAACTGTTGGTTACAAAAAAAAATTAATTATGTTTAAAATAATTTTGTTTTTATTTTATTTACCTATTTTGCATTTAAAATGTCTTTTATTTTTTTCAAATTCTTGAATTGTAGGCTGAGAAGGAGGGGTGGGGGTTTAAATAAATCACAAACCACTCCCATCTTATTATGTCAATGACTATATTAGTCTAAAACTACATAAAGATATTGATTGTCAAAATGTTTTAAAAACGTTTTAATATCTTTGGTTTTAAAATTTATGACTTAAAATCGTAAAAAGATCTTTGAAATAAGAGGTAAGTATTTATCGATTTGAAGTAACGCAAATAAACTGTTTCTCAAACTTAAACTGAAAAAATATGTTTTTAAAATGTATTTTAACAATCAACTATTATTTATTCATTTTATGTAAAAAAAAAAAAAAAAAAAAAATCTAGGGAGATGGGGGCGGCGTGGGGGCCTTCCGTGGGAGGGGAGGGCGTCTTCCTTGGCCCATGACTATAAATATCCTAAACTAGTCAATAAATAACACTATTTGATGTTTTATTCAAATAAATGTTTTACAAAATATTTTAATTGCTTTTGTTACAAAATTTAAATTTTTCTAAAAAGACACCATTTTTAAATGCAAATTTTGATCATGTATTAGAGAGACAATTGATGAATCTAATTTTTTTCAGTAGACCTAAGATGAAATAATGATATACAGTTAAACTTTTTACTCGGGATTTTGGGCCACAGTCTTCATTTTACCTCCAAAAATCACTAATTTACAAGTCAATAATTTTGAACAAAATTGGACAAATGAGGCATTTCTTGAGATAATCGAGTCTTGAGGGTGCTTTTTTTGGATCCCTCAAGTTAAAATCTATTAGAGTACCAAATTTTAGGAAATTTCCCCAAGCCATTATGAAGATACTGTATGTCAAAGTTGCTTTGTAGTCGCTTCAGAAAATCACAATCAGAGATATCTTTACTTGAAAAAATGCTGAGTCAGCATTATTTCAAGTAAAGATATCTCTGGAACCCATTGGTATTTTTAACTAAAATTTTCGCAGTTATTAATTTTTTGATATGGACTGCAAGTGGTGTAAAAATAAACAAATTCTGAGACGTAAGGGTGTCAAAAATTATTTTTTTTGGATGAAAAATTATTTTTTTTGGATTTTTACCCTAGCACTATATTAAAGTTTTAATTAAAACATCAAGTTTTTTTCATTAAATCTAAGATGAAGTAATGATATACAATCAACATTTTTACCAGGGTATTGGGTGACAGCCTCCATTTCTGCTTCAAAAATCAATAATTTTCAAAATAATGATTTCGGATAAAATTGGATAAACAAGACATTTCTTTAGACTATTAAGTCCTTTATGTATTATTTTTGAATTCCTTGAGCAATAATCTTTTTGAGTAATATCTTAATAATGGTTTGAGGGAAAATCCTCCAAGTGATTATCAAGATATATGTCAAAGTTGGTTTGTTGTCAACTCAAACTCAACAATATATATTTTTAGTTAAATTTTTGATAGATATTATATATTATCAAATAAGCATTATTATGGACTGCAAATGATGTAAATATAAAACAATTCTGAGACGTATATGTAACAAATTTTTTTTTTAGGATGATTTTAAATGGAATGACCCTAGAGTAACAAAACAAAGCAAAACTAATATAATATATATAGAAACTTAAAGTTAAAGTGCAGAAAACTTAAAGTATAGTAAATAGATAAAAGTATAATAAATATATAAAAGTGTTTATTTGGTATACTCAGCATTTAATTAATGATATAAATTGAAGAAGTGTAGTGGGCAGGGTGTAAACTAGAATATAAATGTGGTTGCTTACTTTAATTGGTAAAGGAAAAAACAAACAAAAAATGGTCCTTGAGCTAATTCCAAAAAAACAGAGGTCTTTAAATGATGCTGTCACCATTAAAATTAAAAAGTCCAACTTCTTTTTTATCACCATTTATATAGCTAATACATTAAATATTTTAAAAAATGTGTTAAATGTACTAACAAAAAAAAAAAAATTAAATAGAAAATAAAGGGGAAAAAATCAATTTTTAAACTGTTCCGCAGTTACCACAGGTGGTGCTCTTTTAATACTATATAAAACTCTAAACAAGAGTGCAATGAATTATTTAAATTATGTTGGTAATTAAACTTTGAATGTGAAATTCTTTTTTAATTTCTTTTATGTTATATAACAATTATTTTAATGAAGAATTTTTTGTCTACAATAAACATGTTTTAGTCAAGTTTTTAAATTGTTTTATAAAAAGTATTCTATTTTCGTTTAAGTAATTAATTTTTTTTTTAAAACTATTTCAAAAATTATCATCAACGGTTTTGAAATAAAAAGAATTAAGAGAAAGGTATGAAACAGTAGTAACAAAAAATTTTCTAAAAATAATTAGTCTTTATTATAGAGGTCTTCAAGAGTTTAATTAGTTTAAAAATAAAATTTTTTAAAAATTTTTTTGAGAACTGCTATTAAAAGTAGAGTATTTAAACACATGGTTTATTGTTTAGCAACCAGATCGAGAATTTCTTCTTCGTGCATCTTTTATTGAAATATATAATGAGGTATGTTTACTAATTACTTTGTAAATTTAAAAAAAATAATAATGCATTTTGAATTTATTAAATTGTATAATAAATTTTTTTCAAAAAATAGCACTCTTACTAATTCCTCCAGTTTATGTTCTCTTAGATTATTTTTCACTAATGGGCTCTTATGGGTTCCTTATGTATACAAAGATGTTACAAAGATGTTAAAGTTTCTCACTTTATCGTGCTTGGCGTTTTCTTACTCCTAATTCCATTTTTTACCTCTTTAAGTCTATTATTTGACCTCTTCCCCATGGTTGTAAGGTAGCATTTAAATTTTTTTTACCAATACTACCATGATCGTTCCTCAAGCAAGCTATCATCAATTTTTCTATGAAACAAAACTCAATCTTGTGTAACTGGTCATCCAGCTAAATTCAATTTTTTTACTGCAACTGTTCCTTCATTCTCAAAAACTTGGTTCTTCACATCAATGGCATTATGCACAGAAGTGTTAAGTACAACATTTTGTCAAATTGAGCTAAGTACACAAAAATTGTCGTATTTTTTCAAACATTATTGTGCCTGAATATGGTAAGTGTACAATAAATTGTTTCGCGTCTACTAATCATTTAAAATGTTACGAGTCTACTAAATTGTTACTAGTCTACTACTTTCAAAATGCTCCCCTGTAAAATCACATCTATGGCACTTAACACTTCTGTGCATAATGCCATCAACATATCAGATGTTTGGAATTTTCTTTTATCTTTGTGTTACCTAAATTCTAACAGTTTACAGTAGTTTAAGTTTTATGTCTTTACTAATTTTTTTTTAACTCTCTTATTTGCTTTATGTTATCTGCCGACTTAAATAGTTACTGCTTGCTGCCTTGTGAATTTCTTTAAAAAAAAATCCAGATGATAATAGTCCTTATAATAAAACAACAATCAGTTGAAAGCTTCACCTTTCTTACGCATTCATGTTCAGCACATTCAGTACAAGGTTTTAATTTTAAACTTTATTCAAAATATTAAGGCTGCCTCAGAAATTTTTATGACTTGTATTAAAAGATTTTAGCTCTATTAGTTTGTATTGGCTATATTCAGCTGTATTACTGTTGCCCTTTCTTGTTACTACGTTATCATTAATTTTTAAGCAATTATGTATTGTGTATTCAGTCTTCTCCGTTTAGCCAGTGCTTTCACGCTCAAGTCTTTTTGTGCTTGCTCACATGCCCGCAAAATATTGACATAAAAAAGCGCTTGCCAAAAAAATATAAGAGTTTTGTTTTAAATTGCAATTTGTTAATTTGTTTAACTTTTATAAAATATGGCTTTTTTTACCAGATTTTTTTAAAATTATTTTATCTAGTATTTATTTGAAGTATTCTTTTTGTTATTTTTATTATATTTTAAATAGCAGACAAAATGAAATTTTTAAATCGCGCAGGCTAACTTAAAAATGACCATCCTGCCAGCGTTTTTTTGTGCGCTGGCATTAAATTTTAAACAGAAAAGACTGTATATTGTATTGAATCAAGAAAGTTTATATATGTTAGTTAGCACTTGTGATTGATTTTAAATATTTAAAATAATTCTTTTTTATTTTGTTTCTTTTTCTTTTTTTTAATCGATTCATGGATATTTTGTTTTATTTTTACTAATATTCTAAATATATCATATATATAGTATGTTTTATTTTAGGAAATAACAGATCTTTTGGCAAGTAAGAAAGAAAACATTAAAATTTTAACAAATTCTGAAAATGATGTTGTTGTTGAAAATCTCACAACTCACACAGTCATTTCATATGAAAGCACAATGGATTTGGTACAAAAGGGAATAAGTAAGGAAATTTTTATTAATACTTTTGCAATACAACAATTGTTGTTAATTTTAATTGATATCTTTAAAGTGTTTGAAAGTATAAATAAATGTATATATATATATATAAATTTGAAAAGGAAAATATAATTATATTACGTTTTTTAAAAAATACTTTATTATGCGAAATGCTTTGTTAATTATTAAATACATAGTTTATTACATAAATATTAAATACATAAGTTATGTGATTATTAAATACATAATTTAATATGTAATAAAAATGTATAATAAAAATAAAAATTATTAAATACATCAATTACTATGTAAATATATTAAATAAATAAATTATTAAATTTACTTATTACTTTATTAAATAAAGTAACAAATTAATTATAATGTTTACAATAAACACATTTTATTTAAATTATCAAAGTATATTATATGTAATTACATTTATATAAATATGTATTTAAATCTTTTCAAACTTTTTAATTTTATAAACACTTTAATAGCGAAATTTTTTAGTGCAAAATCAAATGTTACATAACAACTCAAATAGCGTAGTAAAAAGTACTGGTTTCTATAAGCATTAAAAAAAACTCTAAGATTAAAATTTTTAGAAAATAAATTTAAAAGAGGTTTTAAAAGCTAAAATATTGTTTTGAAATTTATAAAACCATAGGATAAAAAAAAAAAAGAAAAAACTAAAACTATAAATTTAAATTAATAACTAATTGCAACGTTTTAATATGAATGATAAAAACCAGGCTACTTAATTCAAAAAAACTGTAATGCTTTAGCGTCTTTTAAAAAATGAATGAACTCAAAAAAATGACATATTTTATTTATGTAGCCGTATGTTCAACTTCAATTTTGTTTTGGATAAAAAATAAATTGTTAAAACAATAAAGTTTATACACAATACTGAATTTATTAATAATTTTGGAACAACTAAAATGATTAGAAAATCAATGCATATAAAATATATGTCAGACAAAATGACTGATAGATGTCGTTTTTTACCGGACAAGTGCCAGACAATGTCCAATGTCCGACGCCTATTTCGAGCCCTGTATACATATTATGTTTTTTATATATCGTACTCGTCTGACCAGGTTATTTTGTATCAACATCATTTTTAAACCTTGATGAAACCTTTTTCATAAAATCTTTTACCCAGGAATATAAAAATTAGCAATTTTTATAGTTTTATAATTTTTATAATTTTTATAGATTGTTTCAAGTAACATTCTTTCAAGCTTTTGCCATTGCAATTCGTGATCGCTTAATTTGCCTCTTGTGTATCTTATATACTGGACAATTAAAAAAAAATTTTAACATTTGACTTGTTGGGATCTTTATCACCTTATATCATTTGCATCAAAATTATTATGCAAAAATTATGGGTTGATAAACTCAATTAGGATAAAATTCCTAAAAAGAATGTTTTTGATGTTGATCAATGGTTTTAAGAACTAAAATATCTTCAAATAATAAACATTCCTAGAAGCCTGCAAATATCTTGAACTGTTGCAAATAGATTGATACACGTTTTTATGGATGTGTCTTTTAATTCATAGAACGAAAAGATTAATAAAGTATAAAATAAACAAAAGTATAATAGTTGCCCATCATAAGTATTTGAGTGAGTTGCGATCTATTAGTTGAGTTATTGAATTATTGCAATCTATTAGTATGCAAAGGCTTGAATTATTTTGAGCTGTTCTTGGTTTACGACTTGTAGAGAAGATTGTTAAAGTTTTGAAGCTCGCTTGAAAAAATATGTAACTATAGGGTGTAATAGTCTTATTGTTTTCTGGTGGATTAGTAATCAAAGTCAAAAGTTTAGACTGTTTGTTGCCGGCCGTATCAGATTAATTTAATCAAAACTGAACTAAAAGAATGGAGGTGTCAACAAAAATTTATATAGCTGGTTTACTAACTAGAGGAATATCAGTGAGGGAGTTTAAATATCAGTGAAAGAATTTAAATATCAGTGAAGGAGTTTAAATATCAGTGAAGGAGTTTAAATATCAGCGAAGGAGTTTAAATATCAGTGAAGGAGTTTAAATATGACAGTATGATGGATCAAGTTTTTTTGCATTCTTTAGAAGAAAAATGACGACACAATTACATTAAAGTCACGCAAGAGGCTCACGTTGAAGTAAAATAGAATGTGTTGATGAATTTTGTGTTATACAATGAAGTTACTGCTCAATTGCTTTATGTAAATAAATTCTTATGTTAGAAAATACTTGTAAGGATAAACTGATGGATACATCACTTTATAAGTAACTGTCAAAATGTACATTATTGCTAAAGCTAAACATTAAATTAAGGCTAAACAGGAAAGATTAAAAAATAAATATAACAACATTAAAAAAGAAAACATGGTATCAATATTATGCAAAACTATTTTTTAAAATCCAAAAATCAATGAAGATGGTTTACTGTGTTCTTGTAATCGATTGCAAAACATGTATTACTTGGACTTTAATTTTAGGTATTGAATAATTTTGACAAGAGGTCATATAATTACAAAACTGACAGTTAAAAATTGTCAAAGGAAATCATGTAACGGGAACTTACTGATTACTGGGAACTAATTAACTGTTGACAAAGTTATCAGAACAATATTAGGTCAAAGACAAAGATGAGAAGAAATCTGTGAATCAAATTGCAACAAATGTAAAATAAAAAAATGTCAACCAACAATTGCACTTCTATCAAGAATTTGCTTAAAAGAACCAGTATGTGGATTTTTTAGAGTTTGTGTTGGTTTTGCTGTACCCTTTCTTACTATGCAGGGTATGAAGAAGACCCGAAATTAAAGATACTTTTGCTTGTTAATTTTTTTTATTATCTCATGCAGTACATCTCAAAAGTGCCAGAAACTTTGATACAAATTTATTCCTCAATGCTTTTTATTGCTTGGTAAACAGAACAGGAATACCATTTGTTGTTTTGACGGACAGTGAAACAAATTCGGTTTGTAAAAAATTATGAAAAGTAATTATCAACAGATAATTTCTATTAGTTTACAATATCTGTGAACTAAAATTTGTTATTACTTAGATAAGAATAAAGTTAATAGATCTTCAAAAGAATCAAGTGCCACTTAAATGGTCAATTAGGATCTCATCTTGTTGGTGTATTTGAAATAATGGTCAAGGTTTTATGATTTGATGCAAAATGTACAGTAGCATCAATACCAGAAACCAATATTACTGATGTGCTGAAAGTTTGTTTAGTTCCTGATTTTAAGGACTGAGTTGGAACTAAAAAAGTTTCTAAATTTGTATCATTTTGAAAAAATGATACAAATTTAGAAACTTTTTTAGTTCCAACTTTCTTTAGTTCCAGCTTTCTTCCTTTTCAAAATGTTATAAATCAAATAAAAAAAAACAAAATGCAAAATTAAAATAGATGACATCGTATCAGCCATACATTGGTCGCTCAGTAGAATTACAAAAGAGTCATCTTTACAAAAGTAAAGATAATGTGTCAGAATTGTGAAAGTTAAGTAATAAAAAGAAATTTATAAGAACCGTAATAAGATTGTGTCTTCTTAAGCTTCTTACCTAAGAATGTTTTGATGGAATTGATTTCATAAAAGTTGGGGACTGATAACAGCATTAACAGTGACATTATTTTGATACAGTAGGATTATGGGTTTTAATTGTTCTAAAAAGTGCTGATAATAAGCTTCTTTATCATGCAACACTAACATAGCATTTTAAATATTTTTTAAATCTATTTTTTAACAATCATATATAATTTATTACTAATATATTTATTACTTATTAATAATTTGACAGTGTTAAGTAATTTTGAATATTATTAGAAAAATTTTAAAAGTGCCTCATGGATTTGTTTTTAAATAAATGTGCAAAATAACTACAGTAAAAGTTATTGAGCATATATTAATTTCACAGAATTATGATATAGAAAGTTCTTATATTTCTATATTTTCTTATATTTAGTTAATCGAAAAATTGGCATTACAAACATGAATGAAAGGAGTAGTCGTTCTCATTTAATTTTTAGATTGGTATTTTTTATTATTTTTAGACTGGTATTTCTTATTATTTTTAGACTGGTATTATTTTTAGACTGGTATTTCTTATTAATTTTTAGACTGGTATTATTTTTAGACTTGTATTTCTAATTATTTTTTGACTGGTATTTCTTATTATTTTTAGACTAGTATTTCTTATTATTTTTAGACTGGTATTTCTTATTAATTTTTAGACTGGTATTATTTTTAGACTGGTATTTCTAATTATTTTTAGACTGGTAATTCTTATTATTTTTTAGACTGGTATTTCTTATTATTTTTAGACTGGTATTTCTTAATTATTTTCTAGACTGGTATTTCTTATTATTTTTAGACTGGTATTTCTTAATTATTTTTTAGACTGGTATTTCTTATTATTGTATTCCTTGTTTTTGATTTTAAAGTGAGAATATTTAAAAGTTCTTATTCCTTTTAAGGAGATTTAAAACCTCCATAAAAGGCTAAAAGTGTGAATATAATTTATTTTTATATTATTTGTTTTTAATTACAAATATGGTGGTTTTTTAAGTATAGTTATTTATTATTTGATAGGTTATAGAAAGTAGAGAAATCTCAGAACTAAACAACAGTATGGAAGCTAATGGTACCATCATAGCTGCTGAGCTAGTAACTGTTTACACATTTTTATTTTCAAAATGTTTTGAATTTGATATGTTAATTTTATTTGTTTTTGTAAAACTTTTTCTAGAATGTTGTTGACTTGGCTGGTTCAGAAAGAGCTGGCCAAACTGGAGCCCAAGGTAATTATATTATATATTATATTTAAATTTTTAAAATATGGAAGTTTTATATTTTTAATACAACTTCAAAGAACAGTCAAGAGCTCTTTAATGTTTTGGGATATTCAAATTTAGGTTACTTGATCCCAAACATAAGTATAATAAATATACCCTGTTCAGTACAGTCATAAAATCACTAAACTATTTATGGTTTAGTGATGATAGACAGCACTTATTCATGTTACAACATTTTAGGCAAGTCCTTCATTAATGGGCTAGTAAAACTATTATCACATCCAGTTGTTTCAAAAACACTCGAGTTGTCATTGGGAGGATTTAATATTCAAACCAAGCTTACTAATAACTGTGTCACCATATTTCTTCAGTTTGTTAATAAGATGTCCAACTACATTTACAATGGGTTTTTAGACCTTGTCTTAAAGAAAGAAAGAGTATCATTAGAAGAATCAGCTCAAATATGACAACAGTATTGAAAAAGATGACTTTGTGCTTATTGGATAGTCCAAGAGAATTTCATGCATATGGTGTCTACATGTGCATTAAATTCTCTCAGTTCTCCATTACTTAAAAAGCTCCATTTTGTCATCCTGTATTGCTTGATATGGTATCAAAGCACACTCCTATAATGATAGATTTACACTTGAGCTGCAGAAGAACAGCATCAGTGGTGACTTGTCCAGTCCCCAGACAATGTCGAGAGGTTTGCTATTGCCATATGCTGCAGATATAAGCCAGATATTTAGACAATCAATTAAAGTTAAACTGCAGAGATCAATTTTCTGCCCCAGTGTACAACAAATTTTGATTCTTTATAACATGGTTTTTTTTGCTCAGCAGTTTCATTACAATTATTGTGACTGACAAAGCACAATTTTTTTTGAATCTAGGGAGTGTGATGAAGATGTTAAAGTGATAATTGAAACTGCGCTAGCTGTTTATATCCAGGCAACCCAGTTTAAATCATCACTTAAGTCAATATCATAGTAGCACTGCATCATGTGAGTGCAATCTAGAGTTGCAGCTAATTAGGTTTTTTTAAAAGTACTTATTTTTTTCTTCATTGACTGAACGGGTATGAGAAATTGTTTGCAAGTAATACATTTTCGTTGTCATCATCAATAATTGCACAGAGTAATGCAAATTACTTTGTGCAATTTTATGGAGAGTGATCTGATTTGTCTGCTTTTCCTTCTGGCAGATCTAGTGCTTGTAACTTAACTTCTCTTTGTTTATTCTTCAACAATAACACTTGATGTTTTTGGTGACTAATATGTTTACCATCAAAGTACAGTGACCAGCTTTCTAAATGTAGTGTTTTCTTTTTGAAAAAAATTTTGTGTTGTGGGTGATCTTTTTCGAAAATTAATCAGAATAAGACCAATTTTCATTACTTTTTGGTAAAAGTTCATCAATTTATGACACAGGAAATTAATTATTTACAAAAAGTTTGAAAGTCATAATACAAATATATATTGACATATATAATTTATAATATAAATGTATATATGTGTGTGTGTGTGGTGTATATATATATATATATATATATATATATATATATATATATATATATATATATATATATATATATATATATATATATATATAT